GGGGGGGGGGGGGGGGTAAATTTATGAAGTAAACAGCAACTGCAACTTACTGCAACATATTATATTAGTTAGAAATATTTATACTTTCCAATAAATGTTTCATTAAATAAAATTTGTAGTTTCATTAAGTAATTTTTGTTTTGTTCTGTTCAAAAATTGTTTTGTATTATGCATTTTGTAAAAGGCATTACTTTATTATATTATTGTTAATTTATATAGTTTTATCTTTAAAAACATTTTTTAACCATTTCATAGAAACATACACTGTGCAACCCTTATAGATGATACAGTGATAAGAAAATATACACAGCGCTAATGGTAATAAATGTCTTGATTTAAGGGTGACACACACTTCACACATATATATGCCACTTTACCAAAAATACATGTCCTATATATGGTAACATTTACATAATCCTTAGTTTAGAAGTGGATCAAAACAGACAGAAGTAAGACAAAAAGAGTCTTGAGATAAAGAAAGCTGAAGTCAGGGTGTGGGATGGATGCAATGAGCTGATGTGTTTGACCCAGCTGGCTCTGGTCGGAGCAGTAAGAGAATCTCCTGTGCTGGAAGCTGTCAGGAATGCTGATGCAGCAACTGGCTTAATTAAGTTGCTACCGCAGGGCCAGCGTGTGCCACAAAGCACTGACTTAAAGCACTGATTTTTATTAACGAAATACCAATAAAATTCCTAGTATTCTGGACCTATATGACAGCTTTGACTTAATTGATTATTCATTACTGATGCACGTCTACTATGCACGTCTAGACACACTACGATTAAAACGTTTGGGGTCAGTAAGATTTTATTCAGCAAGGACACATCGAATTGATCAAAAGCGACAGTGAATTCATTTGTTACAAATGATTTCTATTTCAAATAAACGCTGTTCTTTTGAACTTTCTATTACATTTTCCATTTTGAACTTTTTTTTAATCAAAGAAACAAAGTAAAATTATTACTGTTTTCATAAACATATTGACCAGCACAACTGTTTTCAACATTAACAATAATAAGAAATGATTTCTGAAGGATCATGTGACATTGAAGACTGGAGTAATGGTTGCTAAATTTTAATTGAAAATTGATAATTAAACAACATATTTCATAGTAATATTTTTACTGTTTTCTTCAAATAAATGCAGCTTTGATGATCATCAGAGAACAAAATCCAGACCCCCCCCCCCCGAAACACTTCTGAATGGTAGTGTAAGTGACAGCAGAGAGGAAAACAATAATTGATTAAGAAATGCTATTAACTTGCAATATATCACAGACTATTACAAATAAACCACTTCTTATGTCCTATCGGTGCTTTTTAACGTCCTTTTTGGATTCAGTCTAAATCTCCATTCACTTTCCCTGTATGCTAAAGACATGCATCTCTGTGCTTCGTGGGAGAAAGAAAACAAAGAGCTGAACCAACATGAGGGCAAGTAAATGACAATAAAATATTCCTGTTTGGGTGAAGTAGTCCTTTAATTCCAGGCCTTATTTTAACCCTACATGATAATAGGGCTGTCAAAATGGCTCAAAAACTAAATTTAAATTTTTTACTTAAATATGATCAATATTCGAATTTAAAAGGCATAATTTCAGTTAGGAGGAAAAAAAGCTTTTGGCTTCTCTCCTGAGGCCACAAGAGGGCGCATCGAGCAAAATATTATGCACATTTCTTCAAAGCATAATAAAATAACATGACTATCTTTGAAAAAAGTGCATAATGTTTAAAATAAATGTTTACCTTATATACACTGAACAAAATTATAAATAACACTTCTGTTTTTGCCCCCATTTTTCATGAGCTGAACTCAAAGATCTAAGACTTTTTCTATGTACACAAAAGGCCTATTTCTCTCAAATATTGTTCACAAATCTGTCTAAATCTGTGTTAGTGAGCACTTCTCCTTTGCGTGGTCTGCGGTTGTGAGGCTGGTTGGATGTACTGCCAAATTCTCTGAAACGCCTTTGGAGACGGCTTATGGTAGAGAAATTAACATTTAATTCACGGGCAATAGCTCTGGTGGACATTCCTGCAGTCAGCATGCCACGCTCCCTCAAAACTTGCGACATCTGTGGCATTGTGCTGTGTGATAAAACTGCACATTTTAGAGTGGCCTTTTATTGTGGCCAGCCTAAGGCACACCTGTGCAATAATCATGCTGTCTAATCAGCATCTTGATATGCCACACCTGTGAGGTGGATGGATTATCTCGGCAAAGGAGAAGTGCTTACTAACACAGATTTAGACAGATTTGTGAACAATATTTGAGAGAAATAGGCCTTTTGTGTACATAGAAAAAGTCTTAGATCTTTGAGTTCAGCTCATGAAAAATGGGGGCAAAAACAAAAGTGTTGCATTTATAATTTTGTTCAGTGTAATCAATAAAGTTGCTTAATTAGAAACAAAACAGCATCATGCATGTACGTATAATTTAATACAAAGGACCGAAAAACCAATCACAAACAGTACTTTCTTCATTTAAAAACTTGAGATGCAGTGGGATGGGGAAAACTTCTATAAAGTCTTGAGACATGTTTTTTAAAAGTTGAACTTACATGGCTTTCTAAACATGCGGCTCTCTTGTGCGAGACGAGAGTGCAATGGCGATAGATGTCCCTCTAGAAAATGCAATAAATATGCGTTCTGTGTGAACGGCTTGGTTTCGGTTTTGACGTAAACAACATCTTCCCCGCATTGATTGTTCTCTTTTTCTGCAATATTTTGCATGAACAACGTAGCAGCGCCACATCTAGTGGGTTCAACTGGATAGGCTAAGAAAAACATTAAAATGCAATGACACTTACATCGTCATCGCATTTCGTGCGCCATTGATGAGGCTGCCTGACACACACCTAAAATTCAAATGCAACGTTTTTGCATTCAAATGTGGATTTTTATTTTAAATTCGATGAATATTCGAAATTCAAATATTTTTGGACAGCCCTACATGATAATAGACCCACAGACATGGCTCAATCATCAAACAGTCCTTTGAGATGTGCCCTGCTTCATTACAGATCTATAATCTATAGAAGCTTGTTTACACCACAGGATAAAAAATTAAAAAGGTAATTGCAACTTTTTATTCCACAATTCAGACGTTTTCCCACGCAATTCTGAGTTTCTCTCACACAATCTGAAATGTATTCAGAATTGGGGAAAAAAAAAAAAATCATAATTTGTCTCTTTTTTTTTGCAATTCTGAGAAAAAAAAAAGTCCAAATTGTTAAACAAACTTGCAATTGTGAGAAAAAAAGTCAGAATTGTGAGACAAACAGGTATCCATAATAATCCATAATGACAAATGATTATTAAATTAATTTTGTCTATTTGAAGTTGGCAAGCACCATTTTACCCCATTCTGTGCCGTCTCCTGAACTCCGAGCCTCCCCGGCACCTTCTCCATCCTCTGCATTTACCAAAAAGTCAAACTCCTTCAGTGCCTCCTCTGTGTCGGGGTCATCCGGTAAGTCGGAAGCCAAACCTTCATTTCCGACCTGGAAAAGTTATCGTCATAGGACAGATTACATAAACAATCATATATTGAGAACAATAACATGTCAATAACTACTAAAATTGTTACGCACCTTAATTTTATGTTTCTTTATTCTACGTTTATTGCTCCTGTCAGGCACATCCTCCATTATGTCACCCTCATCATCTTCCTCTTCATCACTATCATCAGCATTTTCTAAAAAATTAAATGTCTCCAGAACCTCTGGATTCCTGTTAGACCAAAGGCATCATGAGCAATGCTTTACAACAGCTAAGATGGAAATCTTTCCTTTAACTGTTTATATTAATCTACCAGCTGAATCGACCCCAAAAAATTCCAAAGAGATCTATACCTGTTCATATCTTGTCCCTTTCTTTTGGCTGGAGACTCTCCTCCATTGAGAATTTGCTCTAGGTTCTTGGTTTCCACAGAACCGTTCTGCTCAGAGCCCGACAGCCCCAGTAACGACCGCACTCTCTGCGACCGGACATCCAGTATTGTGTCCGTATAACCTACTTCCTGAAGATATCTTGAAGGATAGAGAGGTATAAAGACAGTCAGAACAGAGCTCAGACAATCAGGTGCCATAAACAGGCATAAGGTGACGACGCAGGTGCCCATGAACTTAGCCGGACTGATACTTTCACACCCACATAGGATGTATCATTCAGAGAAGCTCAATGACTCGAGACTAACTTACTGTCTGAGGAGCTGCCTGCCCTGTTTCCACGTTAACTGGCTGTTCTGAGGTATAGCCGAGACCTCTGTATCTTTGGTATCTTGTTTAAGAAACAAAATAAATAATAAACTACATCAGTGCATGCAGAACAAAACATATGTATATACACATACAAAAGATTGGGGTCAGTTATTTTTTTTCTACTGACTACTTTTTCTTAAAATTACTATTTTTATTCAGCAAGGCATTAAACTGATCAAAACGACAACATTTATAAGGCTACAATTTTTTTTCATTTCAAATAAATGCTGTTCTTTTTATTAAAAAAATGTATCACAGTTTCCACAAACACATTAAGCAGCACGACTGTTTTCAATAGAGGTCGACCGATGTATCGTTTTGCCGATTAATCGGCACCGATAGTTGATTGCTGGAACTATCAGTTATCGGCAAAAATCCATGCTGATAGTTTTCCGGGTTGCGTCCATTGCTGGAGCGGCTGAGAAGGGTCTGCTGTCATTACACAGTGCGAGAGCGCCCTCTAGTGGTTGAAATCACTGACAGCACGTGCTATTTTCAGACGTGGAATTAAATGCAGCCGACAGAAAATCCTGCCGCACCACAGAGCGCCATTCACATAGTTTTCCTTTAAATTACATTATATTGGTCCCGAATCGTTGTTAATGTACATAATGAATTGTGTATTGTGCATTTTCAGCAATACATTTGTCTTTCTGTGGCTCTAATAAAGTCTGTATGCTTCATTTATAGAGGTATAATATAGGTTGCGCTTTCTTTTTCCGTTTGCTCCGTTTTTTTAAACACCGAACTTCAAACTCACCCATGCCAAATTGTTCATTCTTGAAGTAAACTTGTGTCTGTTTGGTGATTAAATAAACTGTTTTAGACCGCTGCTCGAGTTGAACGCGACGCGTCCGGAGTGTGTGTGATACCGGTGAGTTCTCCTAGACTCAGCGCTGCGCTTTTAATTTGATTAGATAATCATCAAGTGTTCAAGAATAGAAGCAGTTAAAGTGTGAGAGTATACATACAATATCCATATGTATATAATTTTAATGCTATAGCCTTTGTGTATATATTTAAAGATGTGCCTCTTTAAGCATGACAGTTGAAATGAAATGGTAACACTTTAAAATAAGAGTCCATTTGTAGCATTAAGATTAATGAAAGCTGTGTAAGTATTGTTCCTTGTTAGAGTGTGTTAATTTCAACATTTACTATTATTATTATTTTTACTACTACTACTAGTGGTTCAGTAATGTTTTTGTTAATAAAGCACTATTTTAGTTTTTGTTCAGTATCGATTTTAAAACTATCAGTTAATTAATCTGTCTCGGCCAGTGTGGTTCAACCTAGCTATCGGTATCGGCAAAATCCACTATCGGTCGACCTCTAGTTTTCAACATTGATAAGAAATGTTTCTTGAGCAGCAAATCAGCTTATTAGAATGATTTTTGAAGGATCATGTGACACCAAAGCCTGAAGTAAATTCAGCTTTGCCATCATAGGAACAAATTACATTTGAAAATATATTAAAATAGAAAACAGTGACAAATTATAATTGTATTTCACAGTATAACTACTTTTACTGTGTTTCGGATTAAATAAATGCAGCCTTAAGAGACTAAACTTCTGAATGGTAGTGTATTGTACACATTTTCAATAGTAGGTTGTGTCCACTTACCTGATTCAAAGCTAGGCATTTTCATTTCACCTTGATTTAGTTCTGTCCCATATTTTAATTTATGGAATTTTGCTCTGGTAATAGAAGTGAGAATCTTTGTTAAAATGCATAATATTTTATATAAATGAAATGTTAGAGGAAAAAAACCCACTACAAACCTTTCTTGCTTTAATGCATATTCTAACATTTTTATTCTTCTAACAAGGTCATTCTTTAAATTTTCTTGACCCTTCCTTTCTCCTTGGAGGAACGCTATTCGAGCCTGCAAGACAAAAAAGGAGGTCAAAAAGGTTAAACTAGTGCATGTTATGAGAAATAATATATTGGCAATAAATAGCGATACCCTTGCCGACATCACACTAAAGGGAACATTTAGTGCAATATGCATTTGTAAACGAATCGTTTGATCGGTGCAGTTCTTTTTAATGAATCAGTAAAATCGATTGTCGAATCAGTCTGAATGAAAGCCAGAACCCAGTTTTAATTGGCTATAAGATGCCCTGGAAAATCAGACCCCCCATATATATCATATATAAATCAGACCCATTTTATATATATATATATATATATATATATATATATATATATATATATATATATATATATATATATATATATATATATAAATAAATAAATGCACAGATCTCTTATTTTCTAAAGAGGAACAAACACAAGGCCACTGGCAGGCGATGGCCCAGAGGAACAGAGCTCTACAGAGCAGGTTAACATTGGCAAATGAGAGCAGCTGTGCAACTTGACCCCTCTTAAAGGCCAGGAAGTGAATGAGAGGAGGCAAGGGGAGGGGGTATTTATAGACAACCCAAACCCTCAACCTTTGCTGGAGAAAAAGAGCTCTTGCAGGCTCTCATGACAACTTTATTTGTTTGGCAGCTAAACTAGAGGACATCCTGTGCAGTTTTCATAGAAACAGGGAAGGTGAAGTGGTCTTGTCCTTTACAATTCAACCATACAATATTTTCCTAAACCGCATAATGACAGATAGAAACATAGGGTTTAATAAAACTTGTTAAATGAAAGTGAAGTTCCAAATTTCACCTCTAAAAAGACAAGTTTATGGGCAATTCATTCTGACTCGTAAAACATAGCACAACAAGCAGGACAGTGATACACCAGTCCATTGATCGAGTCAACACTACCTTCACCTCATGAACTAAAATATTTAACTGTTAAACTCAAATACCTGACAAGCAAGCTGAGAAGCATTGTGTAATACTTTGTAAACAGAAAAAGGTCCCCCAGTGAAGCAACAGCAACAAATTTAGTAACATATATTACAACAAGGGCTGTCAATTCATTCAAAATTATGAATGAATTAAATGATAGGCAGATTAAATCACAATTGCTTATCAATATTTGCTGAGAAAAGCCTAATAAATTCAATGACAATAATTAAAAGACATTACTTTACTGTAACAGATGGTTAAAGCGCTGAATGCATGATATATCTTTCCATATTGGCTGATGTTAGAGATAATTTCCCGGCATTGGCCTATACTAAATATTTAGTCGGCATGAAATGGAAATGGAAATGGCGACAGTATTTTCCCTATTATGAAGTATATACGGATGAAATGGCTTCTCAAACAAGAAACATTTTTAAATATTTTTGATTAAAGATTATGATGGAACATTTTTTTTAATGATGATGAATACATGATTTATAACAAACTCAACAATATTCCATAAAAAAATACAAAGTCAGTTTTGTTCTTATGGTGACTTTAACCGTCATCATACTCTTTTCCTTTATTTGGATTACCTGTACCATCATCACTTCAAACTAGGGCTGGGTGATATGGCAAAAAAAATTTTTTTAACTAGTCAACTTGAAAATGTAACTACAACATGATTCAAGTAACTTTTTCTTTATTAACCCTCTAGTTAAAGAAAATTCTATTCTAAGCGCAGCACACATTAAGTTGTAATCATGATGTAAATGTTAAACAAATCACTTGTTAAATATCTTTGCAGAAAAGATGCATGAACTACAACTACATCTTGTACAAACTTGTCTTATACATATTATCTGTTCAGAAACAATACGAGAAAAATACTTTAAAAAAAATCTTAAATCAACGTAATTCGAATTCAAAATGACTGAAGGTATAACACCAGTAGACTATTAGGCTATTAACTATAAATGTTCTGTAAAAACAGTGAACAACAGTTTTCAGCCTGTCGGCATGATGCAAACATGAAATATCAGACATAGTAGTTCTTTACAGGTTTTTTTATTCGATTGATCTGCTTTTACATTGTTTTTTCTATGTAAACATGGACGTGTTTGACTGTTGCGTTCGCGTCTCTTGCATGAAACGGCATTCTAAAAACACAGAGCTCTAGTTATTAAAAGATGTTCAACTCCCATCTTCTTGCATTTTTTCCTATTCCACTGCCCACGTCGCATCTCTGTCAACACAAAGGCGCATTCTGTGTGAATGGCACCTAGCGATATATTCTACTTATGGTCCTTCACAGAGTGAGTCACACGTGAGCGGTTAATCACGTGCGCCGGCATGCGGTTGGATCGTTCTTTTCTCTTTACTGTTATTGTCAAAGTGTCTAATTCTAACGGTTGGTAATATTTGTATTCACAATCGCGATTCCTCGATTTATAAAAAAATTAAATCATGGCAAAACATTACATTCGAATTAAACAATAAAATCTGAAAAAATCGCCGAGCCCTGTTCAAACTAATCTTTAAAAACACTAACAATTTCATCATACTGTTAAATGCAATCTTTAGGTAAATCTCAAAAAGAATATAGATTTTCAATACTGCACATTCGGATGATGCCTAATTACACTAAAATCAAGTGTAGAATTAAAATAATATTATTCAAATTAATATTTTAAATAATTGATTTTAGTATAATAATAGTATAGAATTTTAAAATGAAAATAACATGAATCGCTCCATTGCCATAAGCATTCCTCATTATGGAATTTACATACAAGTTAGGAGCATAATTAAATGTTAATTTTCACAAATAATTTTTGTGAAAATGTTTAATTTTATAATACTTTAAAAGACATCCAATGAAACTCAACTAATTAAACTACCCTAAGAAAATTTTAGATCGAGAGAAAAGGCCAGTGAGAGAACACAGGCTGGGTTGGCCGCTGAAAGCCATAACGCTCTTGGAAGGAGCTTTCACACAAGACAGCTGTCCGTACTTGTCTTCAGACTACAGTGAGACTGACACACAGAGGCCTGCACTACTCAAAAGCACACCATGTGTATGACCCCGTAACAGCACTCAGCACTGATTGCAAAAAAATGGTTCTCTGAGCTACAGACTCATACAAAGACCAAAATACATCTGTAAATAAATCAGTAACTATGGCATCACTGATTGTCACTGCAAAGAGTATAAGGTGATAAAGTTCTCGAGAAGACCTGTCTAAGCACCTGGCAGAAGTCTGCTTTCACAATCCACCCCTACGTTCACAGCACTGGAATCAATGTGTGAGGTCACTACATTGAGACACCTCACAGGCAGCCCGGGGGAAACATAGTGAGATCACTGGCCAAAACTAGAGCCTTACAAAGGAGCAAGCTGCAGCGCACGGGGCAAGAATAGCCCTCATCGACGCATGACACATTCCACCATACAGTTGTCAGATTAATGAGTTAACAGCAGAGAATATTACAAGCTAATGACGATTTTACTAACTGACGACTAACCTGTCGTCTGACAGACAATCTCACGAAAGCTGTTCGACTACTTGAATTTTTTCATTTCTTTGAAATAAACTGTACTGGACGAAGACGTCTTTAAAAAGACCACTAGATAGTAAGTTGACTGTCAAAGGTGCAGGTTGATTTACCCAAAAAGCACAAACTCTGTGGCGCTATGAAAAAATGGTTCTGTTTGAGCATCGCTTGGTTTGTCCAATCGATGGCAGACATGGGAACAGTCAAGAAACCTATTTGTGCAATTCTGTTAAGTTAACACACTTCAGAATCTCGTGTGCAGCCCGACCTAAAGCTGAACAACCTGCATATCATGAAAATATCTTTTTCAACATCTTTCATTCTAGGCATCCTCCAAAACCGATGTCTATACACTACTGGTCTGTAGCTGAATCTTCATTGCTACAGTCTATAATGTCACATGATCCATCAGAATATGCTGATTTGGCACTTAAGAAACATTGATTATAATAATAAAAAAATGTTGTAGACGGTTATGCTGCTTTTAAAAAAATGTAAAAAAAATAAATAGAAAATACAAAAATAGAAATCTTTCGTAACATTATAAATATTGGTTGACCGATATAGTTTTTTTGACAGCTGATGCCAATATCTATCAGGGTAGATATATATATATATATATATATATATATATATA